GTTATATATTAGTGCGCAAATGACGTTATAAATTAGTTAACTAAATATAAATTTTAATTGAATATACGGCTATAATATTTGTAATGGAATGACACAAACTGAGATTCGGTTTCTTGAAATCGAAATTCCCACGCAAAATGACAAATGAAAACGTTGTTATGTTGTAAGGAAATAATTAAGAACTTATACTTTAGTTCTTATTTTTCGTCGCGTTCATATATCTTTTTCTGATTTGTATTTTGGTCATTGACCGAATTTTAAGACGACTCATAGCGTGACAAATTCCAACAAAGTATTTAAAGGGACATAAGTTTCCGATTTTCTATTTAAAGGATACTTGCTAAAGTACATTCTAAGAGGATTTTGTCTAATGCTGTTTGTCTTAATACTATTTGTCAGGAAACGAAAATATAAAAAACATAATATTTTAAATTTAAAATCAGGAAAAGGATTATTTTAATAATCATCTTTTTAATTTTAATTTCTTTTATTATTATTTCTAATAAAATTTCTTATTTCTTGAAATATATATATATATATATATATTTTTTTTTATAGAACAGTATAACAAATAAATAAATAATATAAATTTTCTTATTTTAAAAATTTTCTTTTTCAATTTGATTAAAAAATAATTCATTCAATTAAAAAATAATTCATTTTTCGCTGTAACCATTGATATAGCCAAATTTTCATGACTTATGCCTAATTTTCTCAAAACTTATATCATGAAACTTGAACGAATTTAAACAAAAGAAATAGAAAAAGTGATACTTTGTTATATTTATACACAGCATGCCTTTCCTTCATCTTAGTTTTCCTATTATTTCATAATGCAGTGACAATGAATGAAAGAATAGAAATAGAAATACTGACAATGAATGAAATAATAGAATAATACGTCCATGCCATCCGTAATACATCATATTGTTTTTAATATTTATTATTATACTTTTGTAACTGTTTTTGAATGCAATATTTATATTTTCTGTCACGAAGAATTGTCGAAAAGAGAGTTAACATTCAGCAAGTTATATTTGTGAAAAACAACGATATTATTTGCGCGACTTTGTCATTTTTTTCATATTCAATATAACGGATATGAGAATTAAAAAAAATTATTTTTGTTTTACTTAATTCAAATATGTAATAAGTATTTTCTTGAAAATAGAAAATATGGTTTAAGTTATTTTTGATATCATTTAAATGATTTTATTTAATTCTATTTAAATTTCATTTAAATAAAAATTATACTTTTAATTATTGTATATTACTTATTATTTAAATAAAAACTGCCCAAATGATTCGAATTCGTGAGTAGTCGATCGTTCGGGTCGAATCGAATAATTTTGCCTGAGCTTGAGCGGATTCCGAGACACAAAAAATCCTCTAACTTGCCTATTTCGCTAGAATTAACCATTTCATCGAATCGACGGACAGAATAGTAACAGAAATGTGGCAACCATGTGAGATTTTTAGATTTCGGCAACTACGCTTTCGTCAAGAAAACCGAAACTTGCCCTGTGCCCTTTAACTCGCTTTTCTTTTGTCATTATGTACAATAGCGAAGCCAATTAAGTGAAAATGTAGACTGACTACTCCCTCACCGATTTCGATGATTTTTTAACATATTATGAAGGTATTTTGAACAGTTTTTTCCTATAACGTATATGTTGGACTTTATTCGTTAGAGAAAAGGGTCGTTCAGGGTATCGATTTCTAAATGATATTTAGATCTAGGGTATCGATTTCTAAATGATATAAAGATCGTTGAAATTAACAAAAAAGTGGTTAATCTACAAGTTCACGGCAATCAGAATGGAGGAAAATACGAATGAGCAATGTTTTAAATTAATAAAATCTTAATATTAATAGATATATATCATTAAATCACTCATATTTCATATCATTTTTGTTAATAATTTATAACAATAAATGATTTCAGCCGTCGAATATGCAACAGTGAATTCGTCTTAATAAATATCATCGTACTATAAAAAAGAAAATATGTATGGTATCGTTTCAAAAAATAAATTAGACTTCAAAATTTCGAAACGGAATCCGTGGTTCTACTTATTATCATTGTTTTTAGGCAAACGTAGGGATCTACTTCTGGCAGGTTCTTGATTATGTAGATTACTTCGCTCGCAATTTCTGTATCGATTATTCCGACTACATAATCAAATTTTGTTATTTGACAGGTTATAACTCGCGTTCTAAATTGAGTTTCGATCTGCGGAAACTACATCTCAGGGTCATTCTTCGAGAATGGGGGCATTCTCAAGCTTAGCCTCCTGCCTTCTATGTCCGTGGTCATGTTCGACAAGCGTCTTTTTGTTTTCTTTGTTTCCTCTTGTGTTAATTTTTTTAATTTTTTTAATCACGTCACCAATTTAGACTCACGAATTCGGAATCACAGTTTATACACGGGAAGCGACGTTATAGATTCAACGTATTTACACTAGCTCAGGCGTACTCTTTCTACTTCCTTTTTTTTTTGTTTGTCGTGTTGTTTATTAATTGCAGTGCCCGGGGCTTATCTTGCCCTATAACCTGTATATAGATTGGCGAGATTAGTTTTGTGTTGTTTGTGTGTTTCTTTTGTTTTCATTGCTAGTGTTATTATGTACGCAGGAAAAATTTCAAAACACCCGCCTATCCATACTTGATTTTCTGCAAGTGTGTTTTTAGTTGCTTTGGGAGCCTAACTTTAATCTTGAGCGGGATCTCACTTATCTAGCAGTTATCTAGTAATTACCATGGTTATATGCTCGGATAATGAAGTCCTGTATGTACTTGTTACTTCTTTGTATTTTGTTTGCCATCCTGTGTAGTGCTGCTATGGAAGTATCGCGTGGTTTGTTTAGGGTGTGTTAACTTGATTTCCCTCTTGAGTTTGCTATTTCTGGTTATAAGTGGATAAATTTTTTTTAAAGCAGGGTAAACTAGGTTTGCTCTTGTTTCAATTGCTGGGGCCCATGTCATTCTGCTAGGATGACACCTAGGTATTTTACCTTGTGTTCCCATAGAATTTTGTGTCCGTTGACTATAATTTATGTCGTAAGTTGCGTCTTTTTGCGTGTGAATGTGATTTCTTGTGTTTTATATAGATTTATCCTGAGCTTCCATTTTTCCAAGTATTCCAGTATTAGTTGCATGTGTTCTAGTATGTACTTTGTTGCTTGTTGCGGGTTCCAGGAAAATGAGTATTTAGCCGTATCGTCTTATTAAGTGAGTCCTGTTTGTTTTGGGGATGTCAGTGTAAATATTATATAACACCAATCCTAAGATCGATTCTTGTGGAATTCCGCCTTTGATGCTTGAATTGGTGCCATTTACTGTAACGTACATCTTTCTGTCTGTGAGATAATTTTGGATTATTTTAACTATTGCCATGGGAGTGTCTATCATTATATTCAGTTTGTAAATTAGTGCATTGTGCCAGACTGAGTCAAAAGCCTTCTCGATGTCTAGGAGTATAAGCTGTGTAATTCTTTTCTTGTTGTGTTCTATAATTGCATGTTCTGTGACTCAAAGTAGCTGTTGGATACATGAGTGTCCTTCTTTGAAACCGTATTGCTGTGGGATGATGATATTATTTTCGTTGAGGTGTCGGAGGAGGTGAGTGTATATTATTTTCTCTAGAATTTTGCTAAGAGTACTTAGTAAGCTGATGAGTTTGTAGTTATGAATGTCGGTTTTATTTTTACCAGGTTACGGAATGGGATGGATTTTTGCTATTTTCCATGCTGTGGGGAAGTATGATATTTGGATTCAAGTTTTGAATATATAGTAGATTTGTATTATTGTTTTCCTAGGGAGATTCTTGAGTTTTTCGGTTGTAATCTTGTTTAGGCCAGGTGCTTTACATTTGGGTAGTTTTTTAATTATGTTGTATATGCGTTCTGGTGAGATGTGTATTTGTGTTTCTTTTTGTGTTTCTCTTCCCTGCATTTAAGTTTTTTGTCTTACCAGTTATGTGGTCATCCATCGTGAATCTAGCTTTATAATGTGTCGCTGCGAATATAGTGGCGATAGCTTCAGCTTTGTCGGAGTCAGTGAAGTAGGTGCTATTTGTCTGTGTGTCAGTCAGTATGGGAAATTTTAGAGCTATTGCCTCCTATTATTTTGTAGGTCTGTTAGAGAGTATGGTCAGCTTTTGTCATCTTGTTGAGTTTGTTCTGCCACAGTTTGTTCCTGATTTCTGTGATTCTCTTTCAGATCTGCGCAATTAGCATGTTACGTTGTAATCGGTGTATAAGATATCCTGTTTGCGTCTGTGTTTATTTCTGCTTCTTATCAAGGTTTGTAGGTATGTATTCATTGTGGTTTCTTTGGTTGGTGTATTGCTGGTGTGAGTGGTTTTTTTGTATGCATTTTGTATATTTTGTTGCAGTTTGCTAACTTGTTTGTCAATGTCGTCGGTGCTCTTGAGATCGGGATTGATAACGAATGTGTTATATATACTTTTGTACATATAC